AATAGTTTGTTGTCTGAAAGACACAGTGAGACAAATCAGAAGGAATTTTAGAGACTGATGAAAATATTGATTTTTGTAGCCTTGGAAGGGTGAAATCACTCCTCTCTGGACAACAGTAGTAAATACTTGGGAATGGCAAACTCCAGAATCATCCAGTATTTTGACATAAGACTGTGGAGCATCAGTGTTGGCATAGTGGCTTGCCTTTATGCTCAATGCCTCCAAATGCCATTCAGCAAGGTGTCCAAACAAGTGCAATAATTGTGTGACTGACTGATGGACCTCCCTAGACGCATGTAATTGCTTCCTGAGCCATAAAACCAGATGTGAGTTTACACAGAGCATCTGCCTTCTCTGCGAAGGCAAGCACACTGAGGGATACGCACAAAAAACATACTGGGAAATGGGGAATGAATCTACCCTGAGGGCGAAAACCTGATGCAACTGTTCTCAATCCATGTTACAAAACAGAAAATAGTTTGTTATATATTGGAAAGACACAAACAATCCTCATGGAATAGTAAATGTTGTTCATTATGACCAGTAAATGTATGTGCACATCTCCATTTCTCCTCAAAACACTGAAACTATGATCAACTATAATAAGGCTCACTGAAACTTTAAGACCATCAAGGAATGTAGGTGTTGGCTGAATATGATTTTGTTGTTACTTGGTTTCTTGATTTCATGGACTACTTTACATAATAAGCAGGGTTTTATATCTGAATGTAAATGTATCCTTTCATCTCGAGATTTGAAATGGAGACATAAATGTACAATGCCAACCTTAAACTTTGTTTTCTTGTAGAAAATGTTTAAACGTGAAATTGTCTACAAGCAGATATAAATTGAGCCCCTCCAGGTTAAAGTTGAAATTGCAAGCTGAAATCCAGCAGTCATTGAATGCCACTATGCTTCATTACTTTTGCCTTTTCATGACAGTTCAAAACAGGCTGAAATCTTTCAAACTAATATGGACATAACCTCAAGTGAGCAGGTGGCACAACGGACAGACCAGGGGAGGTTGAGATGTGTCAGTCACGGAGTTGCTATGGCAACAGATGCATCTCATTGACTCAAAATTGAAAGGAAAAGCACCTGGAACATGTGATGTTGATTGCCGTGACCTCACACTATCCCCCTCCTGCCTCCATCATGCATGCTCAACAGCGTTAGTAATAGTCATGCTTTTTCAAATGAACACACCCAAAAATCAATGGATTTAGCAAGCCAAAAACTAGAAGCTTTGCAATACAAATTAACATTTGAATTAAATGGAAAATTACATCAAATGTAGATGCAGATGGACTATGAATAGAATTCAAATAACAGTGCACAAATTGATGAATGTATTTTCATAAAATGAAAAGCTTGCAAAGATATTTGGTTAAATCTCACAAGCATTATACATGTACAAACGACAAAACATCTAGCAAAATGTGAATTTCAAATTACCACGTCACCTGCAAAATTTTGCTTCCTTCATGTGCAAAAGCTTTCCAGCAACAACCGGTATGAAACAATTATTATTTGGAAATACAATTGTACCTTGAATTACACATCACATACATGTAATTATATATAAAAGCACTGAGAAATAAATAATAAATTCTAAACCCACGGAATTGATCTGCTTGAAATCTACCAGTTGTAATTCAGTGAACACACGAATTGTATTGATAATGTGACAATCAAACTGCAGGGATATTTGAAAAAATAACCCAATGAAATGGTTGAGAATTGTAAAAAAATTGAGTTCAGATTCCATTCAATAAAAATGATTTCATTCAGCTGTTCAAATATTCAAAGTTTGTCCTTGGTTTCCTGTGTAAAACCATTACTGGATTTCACACCTCCAGAACAACCTGCACTCGAAGTCATAGGCCTACATGTACATGTGTACCGTACATGTCGTTATCTTCCTCAATCTTGCGATTAGGGATGTACATGTATGTTTTGAGCAGTGAACAAAAACCATCTCATGCACTGTACCTGAAACATATTACAGTACCGGTGTATTGGATAGGCCTAATTTTCATATTTCACGTGTGTGCCTCATATACAGGTGCGAATGTCTTCATTGATGGATCAGCGAACAGGGCACATAATTTGCATGTATGCATGGTTATTTATTCACGACCAGATCATGTAGATCCAGGACTGGTTGTTATGCTTTTATTGATATTACATGCAATATTCCCTAAACTTGCTGCATGAAGAGAGCTCTACATTCGCCGTAAATTAAAGTATTTATCAACAATTTATAAACATTCTGCTACATGTACCTAGCAATTTCCATACAATATGCAGCACATAAAGAAGTCATACAACGTAGGTACATGTACCAACATTGTATGATTTAGAACTCAACAAAGCATCTTCAATCACAACTGCATGTACGTGTAATTTCTATTTTGATTGGCCCAACACGTTTCCAAATGTTTGTACCCACTAGTACCTGTAGCAAGCCTGAACTAGCATGGCAACCCTGAAACTAACTCAAACTACATTCATGTAGTGTAGGCCTAAAATGCATTATTGCAATAATATGTTTAGAAAAAGGATGGTGGGCCTATCCTTTTTGCCACCTGGCAAACATACTGCAGACAACCTACCGTTGGTATCAAAATGTTTCATGTTTCAAAATGTATCAGTCTGTCTAATTTATCAAAACAAATTCTTTCTGGTCAAATCAAAACAAATTCTATCTGGTCAAATTAAAACAAATTCTTTCTGGTCAACTCAAAACAAATTCTTTCCGGTCAAATCAAAACAAATTCTTTCTGGTCAAATCAAAACAAATTCTTTCTGGTCAAATCAAAACAAATTCTATCTGGTCAAATCAAAACAAATTCTGTCTGGTCAAATCAAAACAAATTCTATTTGGTCAAATCAAAACAAATTTTATCTGGTCAAATCAAAACAAATTCTATCTGGTCAAATCAAAACAAATTCTTTCTGGTCAAATTAAAACAAATTCTATTTGGTCAAATCAAAACAAATTCTTTCAGGTCAAATCAAAACAAATTCTTTCTGGTCAAATCAAAACAAATTCTATTTGGTCAAATCAAAACAAATTCTTTCTGGTCAAATCAAAACAAATTCTATCTGGTCAAATCAAAACAAATTTTATCTGGTCCAACACAGAGTGCAATCAGAACCTCAACACGTTCCCGTACATGTAGGTGTATTGGCACAGCTGAACCAAGTATAAATAACTAAAGCACTAGTAACGTCTATAGCAAGTAAACAGACCCAGGAACTTACCCGTAGGTACCGGTAAATTCATGAACTTTGATACATTTTTTCAAATTTTCAAAGTGATTATCAGGACATATCGAATCTCCTGTAAATACATAAACATGTCAATCTATTTGTGTCCCTGAATATCATTCCAGCAGTGCTGCAAATAACATGTAAACTTTTTGACAACATACAGGCTGCGATACGGTATCATGGCTGGTTTTCTGCAACAGTAATACAGTAGGCAAAAATGTAGACTAAACTCCTAAGCTAGCTCTGTTCACTGGCTCATGTAACAAGTTCAAGGGTAGCTGCAATAAATTTATCTGCAACTTGTTGCGCAATGTATGAAAACTCTTTTATATTCCTTTTTTATTAAATGCATCAAAAATTTCACTTTTCCCAACTTTTTAAATGATCCATGCATAATTAACAACTGAGGGCATTGTTGCTGTGATGTCATCGAGGGTAGATATAGGTCAGTGTATACATACATACTCAAATTTACTAGTTGAAAATTGTCTGAGAATGGGATTCATGCTTGCTAATTGCCTTTCACATACAATGTACATGTGAGCAACAATGGATGAGCAAAGAGAAAAATAATTCATTAATAAAGAGAAAATAAACTTTTTTATGCTCAAACATGAAGACTTTCAGGGATGGCATTGCAGTTTTGCTCATGAATACGGAAAAACTCATTTGCATACATGTAAAAACCCAACAAGCAGTAAAATGCCCTCTGAAATAGTAAAACAAAAGCTGAAAATAAGGTTAACTGAGAAAATAAGGCACATTTATTTGGAAAGTTGATATTAAATCAAATTAATTGAAGCAAATTTTTAAGAAAGGAATGACATCAGGAGCTTAGAAATGTACTGTATGATACCGGTACATGTTGCGACATAATGCGTACATGTACAGGCTTGATCAATGTATGCACCGCTAAAATTTAGGAAGAAAAATTAAGAAAATATCCGGAATCAACCAACCTGCTGTTTGCTCATGAGTACTACCTACATGTACATGTATGTACCAGTGTATACGCTTGTACATGCATAAATAAAATACAAATATTCAGTTACTAAATTGTGACATCAGATCAGTCATGAGAACTGTGTGTACGGTACAATAAGAAACAAGAATAAACCTGACCAGTACAAACACATCAAAGGAAAGAATGCTGAATATGTGTACCTAACCATACTCACCTGTATAGTTTCATGAATAAAACCTACGTGAATATTATTATAATGATGCCCAGACTATAACAAAGTCCCAAACATACTGCCAGCAAATTTAAAATATGATCAATAAATTTAACAATTCACCATCATCACTTTTTGTTTCAGCTCACTGAACTTCAGAAGTGCAGGAGTGGTAATTTGCTGTTTCATCCATGACACAAACTAATTCTAAACACTCTTATTACTGTGGTTGTGTGTTATCGACGTGTATGCAGCACAGAGTACGGTGTATGCTATTGCTCTATGTACATGTAGTTTTATAGTTAGACAAGCTCAACTGAAGGTATACAGCTTGGACAGCCAAAACTACAGTTGGGATCACTTACTGGATTTGGTGGAAAAAAGCAAATAAAATATCTGGAAAATAACAATTCAAAACATTGAAAATTATTACCTTTTAATGACATGTCCCACTTGATAAATTTAACAAAGATTGCAAGCTTAAAGTTTAGGCCAATTTCCTAAAAACCTGTAAACTAATAAGCTTATTTTGTGCTGTTTTTACTTCAGATTTCACCGAAAGACTAGCTTGAAATATAATTTTACAACTTTTTATCTGCTTAAAGAACATCAAGTTGCTCTGGATGTCACCTACGGTGTCAATTTTTGGCATACTATTATTATTGATTAAGTCTTTCTGATAATAAAACCAAAGATTTCTCAAAAGTGCCATAGGCACTGTACCTGAAGCTCAACAGCCTGAAGAAACCTGTGAGGAGGAGACAGTGAGAAGCAGTTACAGTTGTAGACTTGTAGAGTTGGGAAGAAAACCCCAGAGGGATATTCTGGGTAAAACCCACAAAATCAAGTAGGAACTGAAAACCTACTGCACATGTGGACCGAGCCGGGAATGGAACCCGGGCCGCAGAGATGGAAGGCGAGAAAAGAACCACTCCACCTATCTGACTCCCCCGATGTCTCTTTCCCAGGTCTGTTATGTAGTGTTAGTCCATGTGGTGCACCGAGACTAGACGTGCAAAAAATGAGACGGTGCTTGCCGTGGTCGAATTCACTCTGTATAGGTCTGAATTCCTCGTAAGGGTGACGCTGAGTCTGCAAGAGGTTTGTCCCTGACTCGGGCTCTAGCCGGCAGCCTCAAATCGGCAAAATAACAACACCAGAAGTACTATAAAGGTGGGACACTTGAGATCCGGGTCAAACAAGTGACTGATTTAATGCATGAACAATGAATAATAACATGGCGGTGCCCACCCAGAGAAATAGCTAACTGATCCGCTGGTTACGGGACCATCTATCCTCAACCCATCAATACATGCAAATGACGGGGTGTACTGGTCGGCACTACCAGACTACAGTCACAGTTACATTGACTTTTTCGAGGATGATTTTTAAAAGAAGTAACTAAAGTAAAAGAAATTCCAATTTGAAAAATGTCTGCACGTCACTGTTCAAGCGATCAGGAAGCACGCCGTCAGGGTCAAGGTTCGACTCTATTACATGTGAGTAGCTAGTAGTACAGCCTCAGATCAGAGTACCAATCCAACTTAACTGTCCGAAGTGTCACCATCACGTTGTAAATTGAAACAAGTGACGTACCCATAAGTTCACGTCGTAGCGCACTGGTTTCTTTCTTAGATGAATCACTGAATTGCAAACATCACAAAGCCTCTAACCGCTAACAATTAATACTTACCAGTACGTATTCTGCTGAGGGAACGGGAGGTTTTTTGTATGGTTTGTGTTGAGCCGACGAGCGCGCCACTTGCATTTGTACGGAGTTATTGTTATGATCTGCAGCGCCCTCTATTGTTACAGTAAACTACTTTGAAGGGTATCGGGTATCTTATCAGCTGGGATCAGAACCAGTTTCCAAAAACAAACAAACAAACAAACAACCCAACAAACAAACAAACAAACAAACAAAAAGACGTTGGTGGGGAGCCCTGGCGGTAGTTTGTGTAATCACAGACCTGGAGGCCCGAGGAGAGAAAACAACGTGTAATAGATACTTGCTTGAAAACGCAGGAGGCACACCGGACGGAGTAGATTGGGTGACATTCAGACTTGGGAGAGGATGCTGTCTTTAGCCATAACATCACCTCCATGATTACATGTAATCAAAGGACTATGGATTCCTGTGCATGTATAAGCCTTGGACAAATCAATGCATGCAGAAATCACTGCATGCATGCTATAATGATTTTTTATTTTCAATAATAGAAATAAACACCTGGAATTGTCATTCAATAAGTCAGTATGGTGAAAGAACGAGCAAAGTAAAGCACTGTACCACACCCCCTGAAAACTTCCTTTTTGACTTGAAAATGATTTAAAAAAAATAGATGGGGCCAATTTTATAGAGCTGCTTAAGCACAGAATTTGCTTCAGCACTAAAAACCTCGCTTAATAAACAAAGGTTACCAGCTCAAACTCTGTCTGATTGTCATGCTAACCAAGACAGGTAAATACCATTCCAAAACAACATCACTGAAAACAAATTTGGGCTGCTGGTAACCTAATTTGTCAATTTTTCATTTAAGCAGTGCTATGGAATTGGCCCCAGCTATTCTCTTGCAGACACGAGAGACAAAGAGAAGAAAATGGGCTTGGCCATGTTAGCGCAAGTTTTCATTTATTCACTATACATGGGGAGGAAATCAATAGAGGAGCCTGACTAGTGCGGGGAGCAGATGAGGTCATATGATGCAAGATATGGGGTGGAGAGACCCCCCTCCCACCTTTGTGTTGGTCATTGTTTGATTGGAATCNTATAGGGATTGGACATGTGTGGGGGGTACTCATCAGCCCCATATCTTGCACGGTATTGATGAGGATAGCCGGGGTATAGTCTTGGCCCAAGACGGAAGAACTCGATAGCGGACTCGATCGAGCATATGAATCGAGTTCTGCCGTCTTGGCCCAAGACTAGCCGGGGGCCGTCCGGCCAGCTGGGGCGGCGCGACAAGGTGGTGGATTTAAAGGCCACTGTTATCACTGGTTCTCTTCTCACGATGTTTCGAGCACACTCGAAAAAAGGCTGCGGAATACCAGCCAAAGTCTGTTTGTAAATGGTAAATGCACTTACGCTACGGACCTATCCTGATACACACGACATACCATCCGCATTCATCGTGGTAAATTTGCTCAACAAGCTGATGAAAAGATAAATTCCAAAATGGCTGTCACTGACGGGCCTGCTGTGAAAGAAGAAGAAATAAATGCCTTGACGAGGGAGGCTGAATCGCTCAAAATTAAACTTGAAGAGGAAAGACGAAAGCTCAATGATGTTGACTGTAAGTATGATGTGATTGTTTATTTATCTTACATGTATATTGAATCTGTTTTTGACAGTTTTCGACTTTGATGTTGACCTCTTTTTACGGCAAATTTTTACGATCACGGGCAGCCGCGCACTAGTACTACTAGTACTAGTAGTACGGCTGAGTGGGCGGGGATCTAGGAATGAAGGGTCCAAAAACCAAAACTTCTGTTTTCCTTTCTACCTCTTTTTGTCTGGGTGTAATTGAAATGTCATATATTTTGCATAAATCAAATGGTGTCTTACTGATAAATCAGTCTGCATCATGTGTATAGGCTGTGGCATTCTGTTTTGAAATTCAACATTAGGCATGTTAGGCAAAGCCCGAACTAGCCCCAGTCTGTGGTGGCTCTCTTTTACAATCTGTCTCTTTTCTGTCGCAACCACAGCCCTGCTTCAAGGCATGTCTTAAATGAAAAACAGAACATGCCAATGAACTTGGCATGACTTAATGGAAAGCATGAGATCACTCATGTCATGTTGACATTGACAATTGACCGTGTTATTTATATTGGAAGTACAGTTGGTGTTGTGGTAATAAAATCACCTTACCTTTGCTGCTTAACAGCAAAGTTTGACTCTGTTGAGCTTTCAAAGTAGCTGTTAGAACTTAGAAAATGCAAAACATTCTGGATTTTGCAAGCTTGTTTAGCAGTAACGTGAAGGTCATTTTAGTTTGTTGGAAAAAATTGTCTTAAACCATCACAATGTATGAGTTTTATTAACACCATACAAGATTAAAAGGAGCCTCTGGTAGTTTTAAACTAAATAAAAGCAATTTTAGTAAGGAAAGAGGGCTGAATGCTGGAAAACAGGTTTTAAAAAGTTGGATTAACTTCCCCTTGTTTAAAACCCTAACCCTCCCAAATCCTCCAAAATCCTTTTCTGCAGAGTGGAGGAATTCGGAGGATTCAGGGTGTATGGCAAAAGTGCATGGCTGATTTCGAAGGATGCCATACGTGAAGGTCGTGGATTAGACCTTATGTTGTTTGTGCTCAGTCAAGCACAAATTCAGCCCGATATTTCTTTTGAATCAACTGCACAGCTCAAGAGTACCATTCGTACTGCCTCAACATAATGACAGGAATTGCCGGAGGATTTTGAAAGATTTGGGCAGTTAGGAACACCTCCAAATGACATTTTAAAGAAATTTTGGAGGATTTTCGAAGATTTGGGCTGAATAAAATTTTTTCATGTTGAAAATTTGAGGATTTCGGAGGATTCAGGATGGTTCCTAGTAAAAGGGCCTAGGGGTTAAGGATTGCTTGATACATGTACTGTACTGTAAGGAGGGTGTGAGACTGCAGCTTTTTAGCTGATTTCAGCTTTTTTATGAGATTCTGACCCGGAATTTCAGCTTTTTTGTACACCTGGTGTCACCTGTACAAAAGTATGGGGACATTTTATATTTCAGCTTTTTGCTTTGATTTTAAGTGGCCACTCACACCCCTGATGCAACATTCTCTCTAACTTAAATGTCTAATGGAATCCCAGAAATGTGTCCCCTCAGCATGTCTGTTGGTGCTGTGAAGGCCATTTTCATGTTATTTAACTGGACATTGTTCTTATACTTGAGAAAAACTGAGTGATGTCAACCTAAGTAGAAGGATTGCTTGATGATCGAAATTTGTTCTTCCCAGGTTGTTTCTGTTTTTCTTGTTGAACAAACTCTTCCGCGTTGACAAAGTGCCTTACAAGTTTCATGTATAGTTTGCATACACAATTATTGCAGACAGTCTTCAATAAGAGACATAAAGTGATTTACTGCAATAGTCTTCCATTAGGTTTCAGGAAACAGCATGCATATCAGTGGAAATAAGTGAAAAAAATGACAATTGGAAAAATGAAAACCAGCTGAAGAGTCATTTTTGATAAAGTTCTGAGGCATGGATATTTGTACAACATGTTTGAGTGTAAAATCTGTAGTCTCAACATTCCAATGTTGAGCCATTTTGAATTGTTACTTGTAAATATAGATTCAATATCATCATGCTTTTAGTGACTTGAGTAGCAAATTTGGAACTCTTTTATTGGTTTGTAGCAGACACAAATGCCTTACAAGTATTCAGGACGCAATATTTTATGTTTTTCAACCATACTATTCTGACAAAAACATCTGACAGTCATTGTAAATCACGGTAATTGGAAGGTCACTGTGAAATGTTTAAATGAATAAAAATTTCAATAAAAACTTGTTCATGTTATTGAAGTTGTTCACACTAAAATTTGAATTCTAGAAAATACATGTAAGAACTGTCTGTTTGGAACGATTTAGTTTATTTTAATTATGTAATAAACTCAGTTATTTTTTTTTACCCTTGAATAGTGATGGTTGTGGCAGAGAAACTTGACACGTTACCACAACTCAACTTGAAACCCCGAAGGATTCTTAAAGGTCATCAGGGGAAAGTACTGTGTTTAGACTGGGCTAGAGACCATCGACATATGGTAACGTCATCGCAGGATGGCAAAATCATAGTATGGGATGCATTCACTACAAACAAGGTACTTGGACTCACATGTGTTTCTGTCAGTTGCTTTCACTGTATGCATTTATCCGCTGTAAGGTCCCACACATATTTCCAATATATTCATATCATTGATTTATGTTATTCCAAAGATCAATTTCTTGATGTTTGTCTTTGTGCAGGAACATGGTATCACCATGCCAACGACCTGGGTCATGGCTTGTTCATATGCTCCATCGGGCACCATAGTAGCTTGTGGGTAAGGTCATACAGAAAACAAAGTCAGTGATGGGAAGAAATTATGCAAAACAACGAAGAAGTGGAGAAGAAAAATTGCTAAGGTGGAAATGGGATACACAGTGTACACATGTACATGGAGACATTTGGCAGTAATTTCATGTATGGTTTTAGGTTGTTGAAAGGCATGTATATTTCCAAAAATATCCTTCTCTAGGTACTGTCAATCTACTCAATAAAATCCACTTACATGCACAGTATTTTGAGGCATGTTAAATTACTCAGGGATTGAAAAATCTAGGTTTGAAGAATAGTTCTTTCAATCTGTGATACATTACTATGAATTTGTGAAGCCAACTGAAATTCATGTCTTAAAATGGTGTATAAATCAATTCAGAGTTGTCATTTGTAAAAGGTCTTTTTCAAGCTTTCAGGGTTTTGGATAATGTAAGTTAGTCAAGTTATGGAATGCATGAAATGTGCAGAGAATTAATATCGTAGCATTTGTTCATTTCATTGCTTACCTGACACAGGGGACTAGATAACAAATGCTCTGTGTACCAGCTGAGCCAAGAGGAGGATTTGTCAACAAAGAAGAGAGCGGTTGCCATGCATACCAGCTATGTGTCCTGCTGTACATTCATGAACTCTGACCAACAGGTAATAGAATGAGGTAGTAAGAAAGGAGAAGCTGAATGGATAAGAAGAAGGGTCAAGGGTCAACAGAGAGGGGAGGAGTCCACAAAAACAAGGAGGGGCAAATACAAGATGGCGGCCTCACTGATCAGTGTACATGTACTCAGAATGGCAAAGAATTGGATTATTTAGTCATTGGGAAATTTTATGACAAGTTTCAGAAAGTGAACCCAAAAGGATACAGTACAGTGCAATTGAAAGTTAACCCAGGGCAAATGACTGTGAAAGAAAGAGAAAAGAATTCACATTCGTATTTGCTGGTGAATTTCGCATTTTGACTGCTACTTTGTTAATTCGCAGTGAATCTGGTGCAAAATGTGCAAAAACAGAGTGAAAAATGTGTGAAAACAGTGCGGTGCCAAAAATTTGCAAATGCCGTGTGAAAGTAATGGGAAAACTGTGAGAAAAAAATATTAGAAAACGATGTGAAAAAGGTTTGAAAATGTTGGTGCAAAAACCTGCTCGTCTAGGCCAGATAGATTCTGGATATTGACGTCAAAGGCACAGAGCAAACACACTCTCAATGGATGTGAGTTGTGGTTGTGTACTGGGCCTATGCGTGTAGGGCCAGAAATGGGCCACTGCGCATGGGTTATGTGCGTGGATCGGTTTTGTGTACAACCACATGGCCACCCAACTCCCCGTAGACACGATGCAGTACATAGATTTCTAGCCCTAGGGACCATACTATTTCATTGATTTTTGTACAAATGGATAGGGTTTGAGTTGCTCAAATTCCTCATTGAAAATTCTGTGAAAAAGGTGAAGTTTTTTGGACATTTGGTCTGCTAAAAACGGACCTTTTTTCAAGTGGAATTTTAAAGGCTTTCTGGTACATCTACAAGAATCTAGGTTTTATTGTTTAAAAAGGATGAGTCAGAAACACCTTTAAAAATAGGAAGATGGAGGTTGGGATCTTGAATGTGGGCACATTTTACCGCTGTGCGATGAAGTGCACCGTGATTTTCCGAGAGGCAGTGGCCAGGCATGCATGTACGGCAGCCGGTCAACATGGCATCCGCATGCGGTAGCCTCACACGTGCCGCTGTAGATGTTCAGATATGGACTGCCTTCTAAGCTTTTGTCTTTGGTAATCACTGTTTTTATTACTGCTTTTCTAAGATAAATAACAAGTTCATGTATTATGATCCTTGGTGGCTCTTCTGACTTTGTTCTTTTCAATTCTTACTAAAAAATGTACATTCTAACACCAAAAAAGTGTGGTTGAGGTATGTTTTTGACAACTATTCGGCTACATGTACTTGTGAACTTTATACTTAAAAATTGGTTTTGTCGGGGCTGGGGTTAAGTTCCCTCTCAAAGGTGTTAACATTTTCCCATTTGTAAAAAATGTGTGAATTTTTTTCCCACTTGTGAAAAGTTTTCTTGCTTGTGAAAAGTTTTCTCGTTTGTGAAAAGTTTTCACACCTGTAAAAAGTTTCCACACTTGTGAAAAACAGGTGTGAAGATTTTTCCCACAATTTGTGAAATGAATGTTCATTTTCTTGGATGGGGAAAAGTGTGAAAAGTTTGCCAACATTTGAGGTTAACTTTGAGTTGCAATGTACTGTACATGTGAAGCACAGATACACATGGATGTCATTAAAACTATGTACATGTACACAAACACTACCAAGCCCCACCATGCAAACCAACTGTAATAATTTACTTTTACATTGCAGAAAAGAAAAGATTTTCTAATCCATAGCACTTGGAATGTGTTCTGAAAGTGAACATTTACAGATTAGATTTTAACGGAGTGTGAACCATAGACACTGCAGGTGAAAGCACAGATGTTATGTGTGCTATTCCGCAATGGTCTCATTAAATATTATCAAACTTCATAATAACTAATTTACCAGTACTTAGTCAACCACATTTCTCTTTATTGCGTTTTTGTCTTTCCTCATCAGATCTTGACAGGAAGTGGTGACAGTACCTGTGCATTGTGGGATGTTGAGAGTGGTCAGTTGTTACAGAGTTTTCATGGTCATAATGCCGATGTCATGGGTTTGGATATATCTCCTTCTGAAGCATGCAACACGTTCGTATCAGGGGTAAGACTAACCGTCAAGGTTTTCTTTTGTTATTGTGTTCTGTTATCGTGTTGTATCATTTACCATCTATAAATTGCATGCTGCAAACTCTGACATTATTTTGCTGATATTAATTCAAGTCTTCCCAAATCCTTCAAATCCAATACCTGGTTCCAGTGTATTTTAATGGATGAAGGATTGTACTGTTTTACAGTGTAATTTACACTGGACGTAGTTTTCTTTCAGTACAAAGAACATGCCGTTGGATTACTTTGCCGATGATTGCCATGTTGTGATTGTCATATAGGGATGTGACAAGCAAGCCCTAGTGTGGGACATGCGTACAGGGCAGTGTGTTCAATCCTTCGATGGTCATGAGTCTGATATCAATGCTGTCAGGTTCTTCCCCAGTGGAGATGCCTTTGCTTCAGCATCCGATGATGCAGGCGTGAGTATCACATCATTGACACAAAGACAGTTCCATAACAAATACACCCTTGGCCTGATTTTATGAGGAGATTGATGACACAAGACACAGTCAAGGGGGCTAGTCACTACCTGACTACAGCAGTGTTTCTCCCGTGGTTAGAAACTTCAACAAGTGTTTGATTGTATACCATAAACATGCAAGTAGGCTGAAATTGGAATGAAACAGTAGAACATTTTATGTTCTTACAAAGTTGTTGTTCTCTTTTGTAGTCAAAAATGGACAGAACAAAATTCACCCATCGGTTTTAACATTTAAATGGATGCTGATTTTTACTTAAAAACAGAAATTGCTCTCTGGTGTCAATCCAGCCTCCACATTGATACACCTGAAAGAACAGTTGTGGAATGTGTAAAGCATTACAAAACTATAAATACCAGCACAAGAGTAGCTTAACTACTGGCTAGATAAGCTAAAAGCTGGCTATGAACAAGTAAGAAGAAATAAAAGCCATGTCCAATTGGCTTGGCTGTGGCTCATATAGTTCCCAGTTCTCATAGAGTTGTATGTACTTCAAACCACAGCCAAGTCATTCATGACATGGCCATACTGTGTATTACATTACATCAACCCTTTGCTTAGCTGATTTTTGTGTTTGCAGAACTGTGATACTGGCTCAGAGTATTTGAATAATTCTACAGTAGAAATCTTAGGTATAAGTAAATCATTGGAAATCCTGTGATTTGTTTTGTAATTTTTGAAAAAAATGTTTAAGCAAGATTCCATGTTGTTTTAGAAAGGGCTGGTACAAGTACATCCCAGGGCTGTGGCTGTTTTCATATTTCCGTTGCATTGTTCAAGTGTTTTGAAACTTATGAGTTGGTTTGAGGCATTGCCAGGATTGAAGAGAGGAATATTCCAGGGAGTTTGCTGGAGGTACAGTTTATCTGATGTGAAATTATTCTGTAAACAGTGTCGTCTGTATGATCTGAGAGCTGATCGTGAAATCAACTGTTATGCCAAGGAATGCATCATCTTTGGAGCAACTTGTCTAGATTTCTCTCTGAGTGGTATGTTTCTATCATGTTCTCCTTTCTTACAATACAATGCTTTCCAAATTATCCTCTGCCTTAGTTTAGTGGGCCTTTACTTTTCTATTGGAAAAAGTTAAATTCAAGCAAACCTAGAGACTAAAACATTGTTGAAGTTGATGTTACCACTCCAAAATGTTGCTTGAGATATTATGTCAGACTAAATGTGTATCTGGAATGGCAACCCTGGATCTTAGTATCAAAAACACTTAGAGTTGGACACAGGTAAACAACTCTGATGTAACACTTCAGATAAGTATTTTTCAGTCACTGGTATTGTTTAATGTCTGTTATATTATGTAGCACATTTCAGGTTTGTAAATCGGGCACTATCGACAGGTAACTTTTTTGTTTAGAAAGAATTATTTCTCTGGAAATTCAGTCAGCCAGTTTCCTTGAGGATACTTTACTGTTTACTTGTTGATTTTGATCTTTCGATCCCTTCCTATCTATGTGATCTACCACCTTAACCTCAGCCCTGTCATTATTTCACATAGGACGGCTGCTCTTTGTAGGATACAATGACTATTCAGTCAATATCTGGGACACCCTGAAGGGCTTGCGTCTGACCATGCTGTATGGACATGAGAACCGTATCAGCTGTCTGCGGACTTCACCAGATGGAACAGCGCTGTGTACAGGGAGTTGGGACTATACACTGCGTATCTGGGCTTGAAGTGATTACAGTGTCAAATGGTCAATGTCAAATGGCTAATGTCAAACGGCCAATGTAAAACGGTCAGTGTCAAATGGCTAATGTCAAATAGTCAGTGTCATATGGCCAATGTCAAATAGTCAGATGCAGTTGAAATAAGTACCGTTGATATAACCATATTATCGATATGGGTTTGATATCAATATCGCCGATGTTAGTCATTTTTTGATATTGATATATCGAAAATATCAGATTTGGAGAAATATTGAAAATATCAAAACTTCAAAAATATCGATATTGAAAATATATCGAAAATTTATATATAAAAAACACAGAAGTGCATCGTCACATAACTGTAATTTTCGATACGCCATGGCTAACGTTGGTGCTCACGCCGAGTGAATAATGTCCCTGTAGCTTATACTCTGGGCGGCTTATATGGCGACATTTGAAGAATAAATTCAGTCACCTATCTCAGTCTAGCACTCGGTAATTCGAGTACACTTTGCCTCAAAAATATCACCAAATTTATCCTCCAAAGCAGAGAATTATTTGCTAACCAAATATACGTAGATTAGCATCACATGCTGATGATATCGCTATGCACGGCAGCGTGTATCCCATCCCATGTAGGCAACATACGGACACTAGAACATGCCGTCAAAGTGAATTGGATCACACCATTAGTGTGGGGGGGTGTACCCTTAGAACAATTTACCAGCATTTCACGCCTAATATAATATCTTGAAAATTAAAATGAATAAACTTCAATGTATCAATATTAAATATTGATATAAAAACGGATACATCGGTATCGGCCAAAATATGATATCGACGGTGCCTAAGTTGAAAGCAAAGCAAAGTTCTTGACGTTAAAACTATTTCACCTGAACCCTGATAAACTTGCTCCACTTTAATGTGTGCATGTGGATTGACCTTATGGTGATGTTAAATAGACAAGTACTGTGGCTTCTCTAATCTATTTATAGTGGTTTAAATTATTAAGTTATTATGCATCTTTCTTGCCGAAGGTAGCAGTTCAAATTATTTTTCCCCAAAGGAGTCAGTAGTTTGTCTCGTACAGGCTCTTGTATTTTTCACCTTTCATTGAAATTACTGTCTATTTGTCTTTTATGATGGCAAATTTGGGATTTCAAAGTTTCAAACCAGGAATAGCCCCCAAATATGGATGTTATGAACTGACCTATGCCAGTTAATTTGCCAAGCTTAATCAGAAACAAATGGGTCCCTGAGGCAAGGAATTTGGTCAACAGATATTGAACAATCTTAGAAATATAGAACAGGATCAGTTCATTTGCATAGGCTGGTACCATTGCAATCTACAGAGTACCCTGCTATTTGGTAGGATCTTTACTACATGGAATTAATTCCTGGCTTGGATTCCCAGCAGCATGATCTCATTATCACATCAGGTTGCACCTCTTTGTTATTAGGTGACATTTCTGACAAGACATGCGCTGAGTAGGAAGCAATGAATTACATACACTGTGGTGTTTAATGTCTGCCTTGTAAATCAAAGTGTCAGAGAAGTACATTCATCTTCATTTAGCCGACTTCAGAAAACCTTGTAGCACCCTCATGCTGAGTGCTATTACATGAATTCACTAGTACAAAAGTTGGTTGGCAAACACAATTTGTTGCTGGCAAATGCTGTATAGATGCATGCTAAGGAATATTTGATAAGTGTTGCATGCATTCATTAGCTAATTTAAGTGTGGTTATAAAACCACTCATATATTTTATAAACCTGCCTATTGTGGGAAAGGGGGGTGGTCTTGAGATCTATCTTTGTGAATATTAAAGCCAAAGGATATATTCATGTAAAACTTTTTAATTGTATTCAAAAACTTGCACATACAAAAACATATCAACTAAAGTTGAGCTAAATTTGCTACATTTGTCACTTTTGTGTCATTCTATCTACGAGGGAACATTAAAATATCTGATAATGTCTGGTTTCTAATTGAAAGAAAATTACAGTGCAATACAAAACTTAATTCATAATTTGAATTAAAAATGAGGAAAAGGGGCCAACAGTTTTGAGTACCAATATTGTGGTTGACTGAAATGACTAGGAAAGAAGAAATAACAAGTGGAAGATATGATTTATAGAAAATTGTCATTGGCAAAGAAATTGTCATTGGCAGTTAATTAAAATATAAGATCAAATGGTAAAGGCTAGTCCATTGTCCATGGATACTCTCTTCATATCTTCAATGCTGAGAAAAATTCCATTGTATTCAATGACCATACTGTTCCACAATTCAAGCTGAATCCAAATCATTCATTACTTCATTGCTGCATATGACAAACATTGCTGTTGTATGCCAACACTTTGCTGATCATGTGATATGTTCATGATGACATAAGGTGCTTACACCAATTGTGATCTTGAGGGTCACAGAAATAAAGAGTCGCAGCTTATCTGGGTGAAGGAACTTTGGATGTAGGATGATAGGAAACCAAAAGTTCCGTATTAACTTTCCCTTTCTTGTCAACCTCATATTAGTAGTCCTCTTGATGTCAAGAATTATCATTATTGTCACCGAAGAGGTGCTGTGTTAAAAACAGTCAACCAACGCTAATTATTAAAATTGATATATTCAGATTGGGATTCGAACTCGTGCTTGTAACTTTTCAGAAGGAAGCTTACTACCATTGGCATAAATTGAAATAGAGAAATATTACTTGAAATATAGAAGGACCAATTTCTTGTTTCAAATTTATGTTTCTTTATCCGAGATTGGATAGAAGGTTAATTATTGCCTCGTCGCAGCCTAGTGAAGAAAGAAGGAATTTATTAACAAATTTGTTAAGATGTTTAAAGGGTGCATGGATAAAGTTTAATCTTTAAATTTTTAATTTTGTTGTAGCTCTTGCCTAATGTATAAAAATAAATTGATTTTATTTTATAATTTGCACATAAATGTTAGACTAAACTCAAGTCATATTGTATTTTAAAATAGTTATGTTGTCAAATGTACATATATCTCGGCTCATCTGCTATCCACGTAAATAAATAAGTTAGTATTTGTCAAATAACAAGCTAGTAAAGCAATATTTGGCATTTTGCACCATTCAAGGAAATTTAAATGTAAAAAAAAATAAAGAATACTCTTGTAAGTGTAGATAAGCTTTTTTGGGGGGGAGTTGACATCTCAAAAGTGTACAAATGTCCCCCTTCTGAATGCAAAGGTGGGTATATCTGTTATTAAACTTCACGCAGTGTAGATAAACTGACCCAGGAAATATTTGAATGAATTTAGAAAACAAGTACATATTTTAGTAAATGATAGATTCTGAATTGTTAGTTTGGTTTTAATTATGCGAAATATGATTCAAAGTTTGTACAGTGTTGCTTTAGTGTTCATGCACATGTTCATGCAGCTGTCTACGGTTTCACATCGTAAATGAAAAAGGCATGTTATGAGGATGTATATGTATGTCCTCACTTTGCTTCATGTCCTCAGTTGCAGTCAAGTAAGCAGATTGAAACAGTATAAAGAAAACAAGCCATAAGGAGGACAATGTCAAGTCCTCGGTGAAAACCATTGACAGACTTGCATGTTGGATGCATTTATTTACTAGCTCTTTGGTTGTGTGAAGGGATGATCTTGAGTTAGATTCCAATTCATACATGTATACTCTTAACTCTGCGGTTGGTTTGCTTTCAAGCTTGGTTCTGCTCGCCGGTAATACTCAAACCTCTTCAAAATGCTGCTAGGATTCATTTTTGAAATATTGTTGCCTGCTGAATGATTCATTTATGCAGCATTTGACTTCAGAAAAATATCCAGAAATTACTGAAAATTCTGACTGTTTGAGATTTCAAAATTGAGGTTATTAAATTTCGATTCCTCCTAAAGACTCCCCTATAAAAGGCCCAGGCAAATCTAGATCCTTGATTTTTAGTAAGTCATTCTGAATGGACTAAATGGTTTGAGCTCACTTGCTGGGGAGCTTAACCTTGAAAGAAATACTGAGTGGTTTGACATTGTGTTTGGTATCAACATCCATCCATCAAATTTGGGGTATTCTTGTACTAGATTACTTCATTTCATGAAGACCATATAAGTGGGCGTGGTTTCAGCTGCTATGATGCTACACTAACAAACTGGATAGCTTGTCAATTAGTAAGGGTTATGTTCTGCAGCATTAAGGACTCTTATGTGTAGTTCTTTTGAGAAAGGAATTAAACATCTCATTCATTTTAGTAAACAAGAAATCCTTTTAGGTCTAGCAACTTTCTGAAATAAATTTAGTGTAAACCTAAGCCTAAGGTACGTGTAACTAAGGTCTCACATAAAATGCACAATGCTATAGTCTCAATAATATGCAAATCTTGCATCAGAAAGGAAGAGTTTGCTAATTAATTAACCATGTGAACTTGGACATTGTATCTACTTTAATGTGAGAACAGCACTTTTGAACAAGTATTTAATGAAGCAAGCATTTCTAACCATTGTGCATGTTTACTTGTCTTTTATGCTGAAGGTCTAGTTCTAAGATGAGATGTACATGTGTGAATATAGCTGTAAACAGTTCAATTCGACTGCGCAGTGAATGGACAGTGAGTGCATATCTTGGTAAATCAGCCCATGTTTTATAGAAATGATTCTCTGGAATGCAGAGTAAATAGAAGTATGTTGAAATTGTGCAAATTATTTAAGTGCAATAGATGTGAGGTTAGAACCAGTATTTGATAATTTAGTATTAAATAAATATTTTATTGATAAAGAGACAAGAAGGTTTAAAATGATAGATTACAACCGGTGACATAGGACATCAAATGTATCTTTGCAAATTGTAGTACTTTATTACAAGTCTGACGCATGAACAAAATATCAAATGTAAAGAAGAGCAAAAAGTATATCACCTGGCGTAAAATTCATAGTTCACTTTTGAGGAGAAAGTTTAACAATCAGAAATGCAGGCTAACAATTGAGTCAAAGATATATTTCTAAGGAATATTATGATAGACATGAATTTGGCCAAAAGAACACAATTCAGGAAATTATTTAACAACTCCACCTCTCTCATGTGTTGTTAATTTCCCCACATTCTCTTGCAGCCTCTCATCATCAGTAACTTCAAGACATGGCCCATCAAAAGCTGACTTGATCAAACTGATGTGATCAGATCAGAAATGACAGACTTACAAATCCAACAAAGACTTTTCAGTCTTCTCTAGTGAAATCTAATGTAATACCTCTAAATCATGACTCCTTAGACTTTGTAAATCAATTTATTGAGCAACAATTTGAGATCAAATTCATGAAGCTCAGAAGCAAAAATGATTTGCTAAGCAAACAAGCAGCCTGGAATATATTACAAGCAATATAATGACAAGGTAATAGGGCTTGAATTTTTTCCCGATCTCTCATTTGAAAGGTACAGGCACAATATTTGGGCCCACTTGTTTCACACACATCTGAATCTTAATCAGTAATCACAAAGCCTGTCTGTGCTATCTACAGTTTACATGTATATGTTCTGAACGCATGTCTGGTGAACCAATGTTGGATCACTGATTGCAGTCTAGATCCGCATGAAGCAAACAGGACCATGATTCTCTCTCACATGATTTATTGTCAACAATTTAAGACATTTAATAGAATGGTCTTTCATGTGTTACATTTTATTTGAAGTTATGTAGAGTCGACTCTCGTATTATGACAAAATGCTGTCGTTAAGATAATCCCATTGTCTTAAATTCTTATTTTTCTTTGTTTTTTCCACTCCCCTTATAACAAAGTCCTGGTCATACCAAAGTAATTTGTCTGGTCCCTGCAACTTTGTTAAAGCAAGAGTCGACTGTATAGTATTGGAATACAGATTTTCACATCAAGATACATATCCCAGCATTTACTTATCACAATTATCAATGCACTGTTTTTCACTACTCCTAATGGAATGATGAAGCTTTTCAATGTGTAACTAAGAAATATGTAAAACTAGCAACTGCAGATCCTTTCAAGACTACAACTTTGCTTCTTTGAAGACAATACAGTACCAACTTGTATTAAAATACAGTACCAACTTGTATCAAAATACAGTACCAACTTGTATCAAACCTTTTATTTCCTTACCTTTTGTTCTTTAACAATTGGAATATATTTTGTTGTTTATGAGGTGGAATGTTTTGTTCGCCGACTTGAATCATTGTATGACATGGACATTGGCAGCAAGGGATTGCAGTAGTAGATTGAAGGCAGCTCTACACAGACAACATGGCAAATATACATTGTGTCCTGGACTTCTGGAAGATAACAGCAGGCCACTTATTCTACTGACAAAATAATCAGCCCTTGATTTTCTGTTAAAAATTTCATGCCAGTACTCTCATCTTCAGACTGCTTACATAAAAACTGCTCCGGGGCAGAAGAACATTATATTTCTTCAAGCACATGTAAGCTGGAAATATTTTAGCAAGAGAATCTTATTTATTTATTAAACAGGCCAATCAATATATTCATTGCGTAAAATTCTGATATTAAAAACCACCAAACAAAGCACATAAACACAAATAAACAACATCCAAAAATGACAGCACTGATTTTAAATTGACCAATTTCCACCAAAATGATGTAATGAAAGACTTTTTCCAAAATGTACATAAAAAAGAATGTCTACTTCAGAAGTTGTATAATAAAAAAATTGAAATACATCATTGTTACTTTGTACACAAGAAAAAACACCTAGTTGATCATTTAATGTGGTTTACTTGAAAAAGGGGTAAAAGTTGATATGAAAGTTTTACTTCCACTTCAGATTTATAACGTTTGACTTACTTTGAATGAGAAAGACTGAAGTCAGGTGTGGCATTACATGACTTGAATATCCTATACCACAATGCCTCAGCCTGCAGATTGGTCATACATTAAGCCTATGGGACACCTCCCCAGAGATAAAAACGATTGGTCAACTATACAGAACCACAGTTGGCTTTAATGAATTATTAAATAGCTTGAGAATTTTCAGCAGAGACATAGGCCTAACATGGTTCAGGTTTGGAATGAAATTTTTGTTACTGTTAGTAGCAAGCATTTGCATCCTGGTAATTACCACGGAAACATGAGAATCAACAAAGATTCCCATAGCAATATATCTTTGGATTTACAAGCAGGTATCTGTCTTTGGCTAGGCAATTCCTTGCTGACTGCTTCAATCAAAGTCTGGTAACCTGTTCACACTGCAATGCATTATGTACAGCTTATATCTGGCAACTTGCCTTAGACCCTTCTTACTTCACAAAGCTTTAGTTAACTGTCAAGTTGGCACTCACTTTGTTCCCATTTCAATGCAAGCCTCTGACTTTATGTCACTGAGCCCTGACATTTCCTCTCTTGCAGTGTCTTTTACATCACAATGCAGGCCCTTGACTTTGGCACCTTAGCTTCACTAGTTGACGGTGACACCTGTCACTGAGCCCTGACACTTCCTCTTTTGCAGTGTCTTTTACATCACAATGCAGGCCCTTGACTTTGGCACCTTAGCTTCACTGGTTGTTGTTGATATGCTACTCCTTGAGTTGGTTGCCCTCCGTTCCTGTTCCAGCCTTGCAACTTGGTACAAACCAATCTCTCTAGTCAAGTAGAAAGACAAAATCAACTGCGATTGAGTAATATTGTTGACAATAATGACAAACATTTCCCCTCTTTATAATCTGCAAGAAGTTGCCGATGACAAACTAAATTCCCAAGACAACAGACATGGAAACCTTTTTTTAAAAGCAAATCTTAATAATGTTTCAAATGAATACTTTTAAAGTCTAAAATATGTACAGCCACTCATTTGAACTGAATTGAAAAGACCAGCAGAAATTGAGAATTCTTAGCTACGGCTTAGTTTTACTGCATTGACACAACACTGTAGTTGTCCATACCCGAAGACACAATATATGACTAACATAGGAATCACAAGCATGCATGCAATGAAATCCATTTACCTTTGACCTCTGGGCAGGATGCTAAGGACTGAGGATTCTGGGTATGTTGCGCCATCCCAAGATGCCCTAGCAGGCTTTTTCTCATCTTTGCTTTGGCTGTCGCCTCTCTGTGATGGCCGAGGGCCTCTAGGTGGCTCAGGTGGGCTTGGAAGAGAGGGTGCTGATCTCTTTGGTATTGTTGAGGTGAGTAAGGCTGTGGATGCAGTGCTGTCTAGTGACTCATATAGTCTGTCTTTAGCTTGGCCAGATGAGAGTTCTGTATTCAGAAACCAACAATGTGTGGATGAATGAGACATGTCCCTCAGAGAAATCCTGCATCAGATGCTGACATCAGATCACAAGGATTTCCATGTTAGTTGGGATTGTACCATTGCATAATGGCAAGTACTCATCGCCACTACACCGAAAGCACTTATGACTTCTGAATGCTAACATTTCATCAAAATGTTCATGTCATTAAGAATGGTTTAGCTTTGTGCAGAGACCACGCTCAGGCAGTGTGCTAGTGCACATGCTATGTTTCCAAATAACTGTCTGTTCTTGAATGAGAACACAGCATTCCAAATGGAGCATTCCAACCATTCCATTCATTTCATTGTATTTCATTTCATGATCTGTCTTGTAGAACTTCAAATAAGAGTGATTTCTCAATCCATCTGGAATGGTTATCTGGATCAAAATAGTTTTTATTAAATTGATGACTGACTGAACACAATCAGCTTAACACCAATATTTTGAAGTGATCTTCAATTGTCAAATGTATCATTTTGTAAACAACAATCTCATTGTCAAGACTGTTTTAGCAACACATCACAAATAGTAGATTTACAACTTGGCACAGCACGTTTACACTTACTTCTTGATTTAATGGTAGCGTACATTGGTTCACTTGTTGATGGATACTCGTATGTATTGCCCAATCCAGGCCTGTGGAAAGGAAAAGAAACAGAAAATATTGGGATAGACAATATTTCTACTGAAGTGACCTCAGCTGGGACCAATTTCATAGAGCTGCTTAAGCACAAAATCTGCTTCAGCACATAAAAACCTTGCTTAGAAAAACAAAGGTTACCGGCTCAAAATCTATTTGATTATCATGCTAACCAAAAGACAGCTAAATACGATTCAAAAACAATATACATCACATGGAGTTTCAGCTGGTTACCTGATTTATCAAGTAAGGCTTTTTGTGCTTAAGCAGCTCTAAGAAATTGGCCATCTCACTATTTAGGTTTTTGATGATTCAAATTGGGAGAGATCTGTCAGGTCTATCCATGAAGCAGATACAAAATAAGATCATGGAAATTCAGAAGTCAAAACTTTTTAAAATGTCAATGTGAAAACCTTTTACAGTATCAACAGACCTCAGACTGACCTCTCGGTAAATCAACTTTTTCAATGTCTTCCCTGCGTGGCAGTTTAAGAAAATTTCCCTTGATCTACTTCTTTTATTGTATCCTCATACTGAACCCCGATTCCTAAGCTCTTGCCGAATCTTAAACTGCCCAAGTTTACACATGTGTATTCTGCCTAATTACTGCCAAACTCTCTCATTTAACTGTTATCACTGAGGTGAATTTGCATAAAGTTAGTCTCATCTTAGCTTTTCTCGTCAAGTGGAATTTTTAAGCTAGCCCAATTTCCCCCAACTTCAACCACTGCACACTGGTCAGCACAGTATATGTTTATGATTACTGTCCAACTATGATCTATACAATTCTCACCTTGGACTTTCACTTAAATGTTTCAATTCCTCCTCAAAATTATTAGTATCCTCCTCAGAGTCATCTTGAGATGAATACTCTGATCCATCCTCATCACTTGAGACCTGAGTCAATGAGTCATCTTCATCACTGTCATCTTCAATGTCATCATCCTCATTGCTGGTGGAACTGGAGGAATCGTCATCTGTTATGACTGTCTGACTTGCAGAGCGCCCTCTGTTGGGTGCTGTGTCACTCTCTGAAAAGGAGTCTGTATTCAGCCCTTTGTGGATAGGGTGCTTGGTCACGGGTGACACCTCCATCTGAGTCGAATCATCAACACTGCCAAGGAGGTGTCAAATATGAAACTCTGTCAAATAATACTGGATTTAAACCTGTACCCTTTAGAATGCATGTCAGGTGCTCTAGCAATATCAAGTAATAAGTGTTTTATACTCGAGACCAACACAAGACCAGCCACAAGACCATTTCAGAAGACCAGTCACAGGTGACAGAGGTGAACAATGACAAAGGAATGCTTTGTTGCAGTTCATTTCAATGGCTAGTAATGTGACTTCAGACTGTGAGGTCTAGAGCCGATCTCATGGGGTCTTGTGATCAGCTTACCCTGCTAACAACTATTACCCCTTGTCAGTTGTGTAAGTAAACTTAAATTGCACACAAATGTTTTGAACAAACACATAAGATATTTTCATATTTAATATAAATGGTAACTTAGAAACAAAGCTCTACACAACAATTCTTCATTTTTGTACCTTGAAACTGTTGGTGCTGCACCATCTTCATCAATTTCCAATCCTTTGATATGCGATAGAAGTCTTCTTGGTGCTACCTTGTTTTGCCCCGTCGATTTCACTTCTTCACTCTCCAGCCTAGAGAGTTTACTGTAATAAGATTTCTTTCCTTTCTTGGACCTCCCAACCAGAGAAATGTCTGTTTCTGTATCGTACTCTCCAACTCCCTTTGTCACAGGTCTATCAAAAGATCCACTCCGTCTGCGTCCATGTCTCTTGGATTTCCTGAAAACAAAAGGTTTATATATATACCGTTCACAATATGAAGCTTAAAGAAAAATGTGACAAGTATTTAAATTCCAAGGAGATGATTTACACAAAGAGGGGAATTGTTTTCAGTCAGAAATGTCATCAATGTGAAGAGTAAAATATATGTGATAAAGAGCTGGAAAGCCTAGTGGAGCAAATAGGATCTGGAACCCTCTCCAATACAAAGAGATTTGATTGTACAATCAAGGTAACCAGACTAGCATAATTACAAGTGTCTTGTTCGTCATCATGGACTAACCTTTTCTTCTTTCTTCCAGGTACATCTAACCTTGTTCTCTTGTCCACGCTATGATCCATGCTGGAATACAGGCTAAGTCTTGTTGATGTTAATGGTGCATAGATTGGTGATTGTATAACGGGAATGTCTGGTGAACTATTCTTGTGTGACACAGGCTGTCCAAGATCCTGCAAATAGATCCCAACAATGATATAACAATGTGTGTTGCTAATACATTGCTTAAAACTAACCTTTAACCCTAACCCTCCTCAGTCCTCCAACAGGTGAAGGATTGAGGAGGGTTAGGGTTAAGGTACCCATTTATACACTGGGTGGAAAGAGGCAATGATAGTCAATTGTCTCATCCAAGACAACACAACAACCATGGTACCGATGTGGTTAAAATTACTATATCACTGCACTGGAGTTGAATACCTGACTCCACTGGCCAGAGATCCTCTAGATTAAATTACCTTTCTCAAAACCCTTCTCAGCTCACACAAATGATTACCCTAAGAGACACTGTGTATATCTGTACACAACGCATGTACAACGTTGATAGTTTAATGATGGCAGAAGTCAATCAAGGAGATTTGACTTGCTTCCAAATACTTAGAGCTACCTTTTCAGGTTCAACTAGGACTGGTACTCTCTTCTTGTAAGCCTCCGCCTTAACCACGCCCACTCTCTGAACTTCCAGGGCGGTGGCTAGTTTACTGACAATGTGACGTTGGATGGAAGGATGCGCATCGCTATGACTGAGTTGAGTAACTGTCTCCTTGTAATAGGAAATAGATGTATCTAATTGTCGTCGTTGGTAATTCAGGTCAGCGAGTCCTTCCAAAACTTGCCAAAGGAAGCCGTGGAGACCTGTATTTTGAAAAGAAAGTAAGTCTATCATACACTAAAAAAAGATAATACAGGGAGGCTTAGTCTAGGCTAATTCGTACTTGTTGCAAAGGCAAAAATGGCATTGTGACATCAGATCAATTGCTCCTGTTGGGAATTCGCCAAAGTTAAAAACAATTCAAATCAAGGAAATTCCACTGCAAATATTTTGTAGTGTCAAATTTGCATTGCTTTTGCATTCGCCTAAAGTATGAACCGGCCATACGACATGATCTGAATGACGCTCCAAATTCGCAGTGGGAACAAGCAGTGTCCAAGCTACGCTCCTGGCTAGGACAGGTTGGTCCTCATTGAGTCTGAAGGTGTACAGACAGATGGTTTCCAAACCTTTGCTATTCCTGAGCCCTAGTAATAATTGCTGATAGGAACAAGCAGCAGTACCACCTTAATAAGTACAAGCAATGTCTATATTACCAGGCTGTGGCTTACGATAACACACAAGTTATAAGAATAAGGCCATAGCCACTATTCTGTTTGCTTCCATTGGGGCACTTTCCATTGAGGCTATTTCAATCATTCCACCTGTGGAACTGTTCCATGACATCTTCCGTTGGCATACCTGCATCTTCTAATGTCTGGTAAGCAATGTGGTAGTATTTCTCAGCACTGTGATGATCTCCTAGATGTCTGTATGCCTCAGCAAGCTGGTAGAAAGACTTCCCTCTAGCTTTTTTATTTTCCAGCTTCCCTGCTCAGGACCAAAAACACAAAAAATGACAACCTGGAAGGCTAGGGTAGTTATACTGTGACGTCATCAGGCTCAAACCCTGACGGTGCACTGTTTGCATTTGTTACTAAGACACAGTGATGCAAAAACATTACTGAACTGTAAACTAACCATCTTGGTCTGCAGTCTTCAATGGTACTTGCTTCTTAGCCATGCCTTATGGAGGATGCTTTGGACATCAGAAAAGAGCATCCGCATTTGAAGTAACACCCCATACGGCATTTCTTTCATTTGACTTTTGACCAGAACTATATTCGTGGTGATTACTGAAGTATCTTGCATATTTGTGACCTTGAATATTTATGGAGATCATTTATACCCCAGTGATGGAGAAATTTCAGGAAACAATTCTGATTACTATTACAGAATCCCCCTAGAAGATCATGTCCATGTATGGAATATCCTGAATCCAACAAAGACAGAGAGTAAAACCTGATGATGCCAACAGCATGAACCACCAAGAACAACCTACAAATATCAATCCATTACACTATTACCATATAATGCAGATGCTTCTTTATTGATCATGACTGCCTTTGTGAAGTCACAGAGGGCGCTACACGCTTCCCCTAGAGCCAACAGAATTCGAGCCTCAAGTTTCTCATTGCTCCTTTCACTGTGTTTGGTTGACCTCATCACATCCAGGGCTCGATGTAACCACACACAGGCACTCTTAGGTGATCGGAGCTGGAAGAGCAAACACCCTGCATCACAGAACAGCTTGGCTAATTTTCCTGTACAAAGGTCAAAACCAACCAACAAGTTCCTTGAACAGTCTCCTTGGCTAAAAGGTCTTACAGAACTTGACGATTTAATGCAAGCAGATCATGTCATGTACACGTATAGTAGGGCTCACTTGCGACAGCAATGAAGGGATACTAAAAGGCATACAAGCACAGACTTGCTCTTACATAGAAGAAATGTGAAACAGATTCTATGTGGGCCAATATAGGATTAAACTCATGATAAATACACGTACCTGAGTCAGTGGTACTGTTTTCTATCTGTGAGTAGAATTTTTCAAGGTCGTGCAGCACACTAAGACTTTCCTCTGACTTTGCACTATCATGAAGACACTGTCCCTGACGAACTACCATCTTGGCAGCCAAGAAAGCACGTCCTGAGTTGTGATAACCTTCCGCAGCCTCCCGAAAATATTTTGCTGCCTTCAGAAGTTGGGACAGTTTCACATGTTGCTCTCCACATTGTTGGCAAGAATCGGCAAATCCCTTCAAATCAGAGCATTCTCTAAAGACATGAATAGCATTACAGAAGTACTGTATCGCACTTTGAAGGTCTTTTCTCATGGCATGAGCGAGTCCAAGATTAAACAGTATGTCACCCCTTAATGTTTCAGTTTTCGGTGGTTCTTCCTCTTCTAACCTTTTCAGCGCTTGGTCCAAATGTTGAATGGCAGAATCTGGATCTCCCTGTGACAGTAAAGCTGCTCCAAGGTTGCAAGCACATGACACATAGACCTCTCCTGATCCCAATCTCTGTGCTATCTCATAGGCTTCTTGATATTTGCTAACGGCCTTGGTGATGTTACACTTAGTCACCTCAACGCTGCCCGCCTTGGTTAACATTTCGACATCATCATATACCTGTGATGAATCCATGATTGGTATCGCTGGTGGGACATTCTCCTGAAATGCAAATGCAAACTCAACAATTTAACCACAAATATCTTTTCACACCTATACCATTAGGGAAACAAATGGGACCATTTCAATCTTACAATTTCTCCAAATTAATGCAAAGGTTCAGAAAATGCAATAATATGGCATTTCAATATGTAAACTGTTTAAGTGTTTTAAGCAGTTCTGCATTGCAACCTGTCTAGTCCAAGTAGCTTGGTCCCTTTACAAAAAGTAGGGAGAGAACTCCATATACGGACAACACTTGATGCCCCTGTGCACAAACTTATTGGACTTGTCAGGAAAAGTGCTTTCTAACTAAATGCTTTGGAATTTTCTTAGCTAAATTTCACTTTTGAGGACATGTTATCACTTTCTGATGGCTGTTATAACATATTAAGGGAAAATTAGTGTTGTCTGTATGTGGAACTCTTTCCAAAAGTAGGGTCCGTACCTGTCACTGAAATTAGCAAACACTTTGCTTCCATTAACAGATTTAGAAACTTCATTCTACACATAACACAGTATGGATTACTATTTTACCACAGTACAACACAATGAATTACTGGTGCACAATTTCCACTGGTGGCCTCGATCTCTTTTGCCTTCTGACACAATCCAAAATCCAAGTTTACTTTGAATTTAAATTTTTAACATGCAATCCTTCCCTTGACTTTGAGACGTCACCGTACACAATGACCAGTCAGTTCAATGATTTCATACAAAAATTAATGAATTATGCCATCTGGACTAAGGAACTGAGCACATTCACCTTGACCTTGTACCTAGCCATGATACTTGATTATTGACAGGCAAATAACCAGGTATTTATAACTGTATAGCTGTATTTAGCATCTCTAACAAAATTTCAATAACCAAACTAGCATGACTAAACAAGACCAGAAGACCGACCAAAAACAATTGAAAAAGGAAAGAAACAAACCAGCAAAATCCATGATTCACATAAAAATCAAACAACTCTTTGCTCACCTACATGCATCTACTCACGCACCTGTCACACCATGTACCGTAGCCAGCAGTAATAGATTGATGTTGGTGTCATGGAAGTCGTCAACACTGGCTCAATAACAGTCCCAACCATCAAGACTGAAACTATTGGGATATAAAATGTGTAATAAATTAACATTTATTTAATAAATATACTAAATAAATAAAACTAAAAATTATAAAATTATTATCTTATTATAAAGTTATACTGATATAACTATTTTGTTTATATTTTTCATCAGGAGATATAGATAGTGACGAATTTTAATTGTCTAATTTATGTATGTAACCTTTGACATTTTGGTGAAATTGACCAATCACATCCCGACATCCTGGCAATTTCTTTTCCCTTGCGGATGCGCAGGACACGGTAAATGTGGTCCCCTCTCTGTAACATAAAATGCTCGAAATTACCTGTAATGAGCCCATTGAATCGCCCCAAATCCTAAGGATGCATTATTCATACGTTGCAGAATTACCTTATGTAGACCTCAACCGAAATCCTCGTCGGAAATTTGTATATGTAGGCAAAACGATGATTGAAATTGCCTGCTTTATATTCCCGGCCCGTGTAAGATCAAGATAGCCTGGTGTCAAATCGTGTAGGACTTGAGGCCAACCCCTTACTGTGGGGTCCGACGTCTGCTCTTCTCCCAACTCGCGGGAGCGGAGCAGTTCTGGGGGTAATTGAGGCCTAGGCCTACAACAAGTAGCAATATTCAGCGCAGTCTTTGAAGGTGCGCAAATTTTAGATTTGCTCGACTTGCGCAATTTTCCTTGTGTAATTTTTATTTGGTTGCGCATATTTCAAATCTGTACAGAACAGTAAATGCAGTCTTTGAACGTGGGCAATTTTTGTGCCTTGAACTGTGCAATTTTTTAAAGGGAGTCGTGATGGTTAGCGTTCATTACTGGCATGGGGATTCCCATTCCCTTCGAAGTCTCCTCCAGCTGTCTGGCACCAGTCATGCCAGTCAAGCAGGGAAACTGTTGCCTTAAGTAAAGGCCAGGATTCCTGTATAAACCAGTATTTTTAGGCCGTTTCAAAACACTTATTTTCCCAGATTGTTATCTATTTTGTCTGAAATCCTACTTTTATTGCATATATGTTTCTAATTAATATGGCTCTAAGAATTTTCCAAATTAAATGTCAACAGGGGAATTTAATTGCTCTCACAGGTTTTTTTTTAAAGGGAATCGTAGCCCAAGTTAAATGTGGACAGGGGAATTTAATTGCTCTTTTGAAGCAACAGGCCTATTCATCAAGATGCTGGAATGGCAAAATTTCATCTGACATATCGCAGCTGGCCAGCGTCATATTAACGTATCATATCCCAGACCCAGTGTGCCACTCTTTACATGCAGTACACATCACACGCGAAACAGACTCTACAAAGTCATGTGAAACATCTAAATAATGCCAGTCTCTAACTTACGACTCTTGCTTGTGGTTCATGTATCCACGCAATTTTTATCGCTGCGTGCAATTTTTATGGCAATATCTGTAGTCGTGCAAATTTTAAAATTTGTGCAATTTCAAAGATTGTGCTCAACAGCAACATTGTTCATGGTTTATGGACAATTGTATTTTAATTAAATAGGCTGAGACATGCACACATTGACTTTTTCTTGAGATGAGCCCATTTGGTAACTCATCTGTGTTTTATTTCTTAATTAAAAAAAGGCGATCATTGTTGCAAGACCAATTTAATATTAATAACCACAAGGCTTAGTCTGAGTAACTTGGACTCTACGAATCTCCTTTTAAAAAATTAGACAAGGTCGGCAAAGTAAATACCAGTACTTTTTGGAAGATGAGGCCAATTTCATATATCCTGCAAGAATAAATTTGTAAAATCTGTTTGACCTCTGTAGTTTTGCCTTAGCCATAGTGTTCTGGAATTTTTCTCATTGAAAATGCCATTTCTTGGTAAAAGTGTCAGGATTTAAAAAAAAAATGGACTTTTCCTCGAATGACACTCTTGTCCTATGACACCATAAATTGTTATTTGTTTTTCTGCAGATGAGGTTGCTTTTTGTGGTTGGTTTGTTGTGCCTTGTGGGTCTTGGGTACTCCCAAGATTCAGGAGCTAAACTCCTAGCATCAAAGAACATCTTGAATGAGTGGTTAGTGGAAGGACGTGACCTGACCATTCGCTACAGCATCTACAATGTTGGCAGCAGGTACCCTAACTAATCAATCAATTAAACATAACCCTTCCAGATCTTGAAGAATCCATCTGAAGAAGGTACATATACAGTTTGGTGTCGCTTACTTAACATGGAACATGATAATCATTGAAATGTTTAAGCATCAGATGAGCCATAGGCTCTTCCATATGGTGGATTGTGATGGATTCAGGAAGGTTTCCTGCAAGAACACCTGGGGAGTTGGGTTTTGGAAGTCCAAGTGAAATCTTTATGGAGTAGCTTATGAGATATGGATTGCCTCAGTCTAATTTTATCGTGAAAAAAATTATTCTGATGATCATTATATAGCCTAGTGATTGACTAATTTTCAATATGATAGTAGGAGTCTACTTCAGCTTCATTAGAAAAGCAATACTTAATGCATGTAATGCTAGTGTGTGATGTAATTTGGGTTGACAGTGCTGCCATCAATGTGGCCCTCGCTGACGAAACTTTCCACGATTCAGACTTCCGTGTCGTGAGTGGCCAGACCCGTGTTCAGTGGGACCGAATTGCTCCAGCCAGTAATGTCACCCACACTATCATCCTACAACCAATGAAACCTGGGTATTTCAACTTCTCATCAGCAACAGTAGCCTATCAACCATCGGAAGATGCTGAAGTAGTGGTGAGGAAAAGTTTTGATTCATGTTTCATCCAAACTGAAAATTATGAATTAAGTGACATGCCACACTCAATGCAGTTTAACACCGTCCAACTCAGAAAGGATTCACAAAGCTTAAAGCCCACTTTATGGAGTATTAGGGCATGAATCTTCTTCTAATCAACATATTTTCTCTCTTGTTTATCGACCTTGTTGCCTCTGAAATTAAACATACTTAGTCGAGAGTCCAACGTTTCTTTTTGATTAGGAACACTTGCAGCTGATTTTAGATGCCATACGTGTAAATGGTTTCAAGTGCTCTTGTATGGCTATTTTGTACGGAAATATTCCTTTTTAAAATGTTATGTTGGATTTGTTTGTGCAGATCGGTTATACCAGTTTCCCAGGAGAGGAGGGCATTGTGCCATTCAAGGATTTTGACAGAAAATTTTCACCTCACTATGTAAGTGAAATATTGACCTTGTAGTCTGTCTTTCATCCCGGCTCAATGAGGTAAAGAGATTTAATCTAGAGATGCTCCTCTGTGTCTATATATACATGTAGATGAATCCACTGACCATGGTGATGCTGTCATTGACCATTTACAGTGGCCCTCACCAATGGTGGTAAGCACTGTGATAACTGTTGTACAGAGCCATTGTTCCCTAACAGTAGCCCCGCATGAAACACAATGCTTTCAGCCATCAGAGGGGGCCATCAGGAATGTACAGCGAAACATCACCAAATTCATCTCTACCTGCAACTACCAAGTCAGAACTGTTGAGAGTCTTTTTTTTTCAGAATGTAGAAGTATCTCAACTTAACACAAATGACATAGTACAAGTCACTGCAAGAAGATCGAGGGGTACAAACAGGAGTTGATGAATTGCCTGTGTCAAAAAAAAAAGAAAAAAGGACAAACAGTAGGACAAAAAAAATGATGCGGGCGAGTGTCTGAAGTCAGTCGTGAACATGTGATGTGATATCCTCAAATCTTTCTTTGAAACATTTCAGTAGTGAATTTTTTGGAAGATACTAATTCACTTTCTAAATTTTCTGTGTCTTGTCTCTTGCAATTTGCTTTTTCAGGTTGACTGGGGGGCTTTTGCTGTCATGATTCTGCCCTCTATTGGTATCCCGTTTCTTTTGTGGTATCGCAGCAAATCAAAGTACGAGAATGCAGTACTCGCAGCCAAGAACAAGAAACATTAGCATCTTATGCAACTCCATAAAGGAATACCCCCCTTCCTGTAAACCTGGATCACCAAGAGGAATAGCAGATACAAAGGCATTGGGTCAATGATTGAAGAAGAAACTTCACATTAAAGTGTTTGACTTGGGCCAGATCTTAAAGTTGTGGCTATGACTTGTCTTAACATTGGCGCTTACGGTAGCCAGTGGTAACATCTGTTGCTACTTTCCTTAGATGTGTTCATTACTGTTAGCCACAAGCTAGCCTTTGTGCTCAACCTTCAAGATGGTATCCACATTCAAGAGGTAGTCTCAATCCAATGCAGCCTTCTCAGACAATTCAGGATTTGTTTTAATAGTCTGGCCAGTGACTATTATGTAGGCAGGTTGAGCTTTTGTTAGATTAGTACTTTTTGATGAATAAGAGTTTCATTTTGGAGAAAATTAGATAACTTAGACTTGTTAGCTATGAGGCAGTAGCTATTTAAATTAACCAACCATTGTTTTATGGTCTCTTATTGTCCTTGTTAATATTTTACCAAGTTGTGTTTATGATTAATCCCCAGAATGCCAAAATTTCTGTTGGTGACCCAGAATGAATTATTTGCCCTGGTTTTCCTGAGAGCATGGATCATGTGCAGGGATATAATTTAAAAAACTGTTTTAATAAAATATTTCTTTGTTCACTTGGAAAGCATTGCACATATATGCTGTATTATTTCGATCTTTCGTGAGGGATATGCCATGGTCTATCTCCGTATTTATAACTTAATTTTTCCCTGCATTTTCAGTGAGTGTGTGGGGATTTACACAATTCAATAGAGGGCGCTTTACAGACACCAAATTTTGCCACGGATTCCCCAGACTTCTCTTCATTTGCTTGGTTCCTTTTCAAATTATATTGGCTCAAAGAACCTCATTTTCGAGTAATTTTTCAAACAAGTTCCGAAGTAAAACTTTATTTTTGTAAACATTAAAGAGCTGGAATGTATATGTTGCCATTTTTAAAAAACGAAATGACCAGGCAGTTTCTTTTTTCATGGGCAGTTGTAGTACCTCCATGGTTGTAGTGACCTAGAAAAAGATAAAGGTCAACTTGGTTTTGAGTTCCCAGTGTCGGTTGTGGAGCTGCTTGGTCTTTCTTCGCCGAAATTTTGCACTCAGCTGTGAGCTTGAAATTTGGAATTTTCTTCAGTCTTGCCTACTTTTTCGCCTTTCCGTTTTGAGGGTCGATGGGTACACCCATACAGATAATAGAATAACCTTCATTTACGCCCACCTTTGACTTGACTCATACCATTTCTTTTGTAATCGTTCAAAGTTTTTCAACACCATTCAGAAAGTCTGCATCTGTTAGGTATCGTCGCAAGGGAAAAAATCCAACGATTGAAACAAGTCTAATGAAATCTGACATTGTCTGACAACCGACCCAACTGGCCGGGCATCGATTCGCATTGCAGGACTGGTGAAAATGGAAATTATGAATGGTCTGGTTCCTGATGTATGTCAGAAAACATGGCGGAGCTTAGTAAAGTTTCTTGATACTGATACCGTGAAGGCTGTGTTCTGATAAGGTTTTCCGCTGTAAATTGGGAAACTTCCTGGAAACCGTCATGAGCAAAAATGACAAGCCCACTTTTAAGTCCTACTTAAATAGTAGCCTCTTTGTTGAATCCAAAAAGGTAAGTTCACAAGGGAGAAACACACATTGGGTGCGGCTGTTGACATCGTCGATGTCAAATGTTGACGATGATCTGACATCTAATTCTGATTGTGGTCATGATTTTTTAATGTTAGGGTCGAATTTTGTAAAACAAACTCGGTGTTTGCAGCAGTAACCTTTATACCTGCTGGATAGAATTTTGCCATTACCACAGTGCCACTACCACCATGACCACCACTTACTGAAAAACATAAACCCATGCATGGGCAATGCAATGGGAGGGAAGCGTGATACCATGATTGACATGATTGAGGCCCGGGTTACTACTTTGTCCACGGTGCGGATGTTGCCGGCTTTTTGTTTTTTGTTATGTTTGTAGATCCTGATCTGCTGAACCAGTCCCGCAGTTAACCATGTTAACACTGAAGGCTGATAACTGCCTTAAGTTGTGAACTTGAATTGTTGTGAATTCATGTTCATGAAATACAATTCACACCTAGACCTTGCCTAAATGTCCGTGACCATCATGACTGTATAGTCACCAGGTCCCTAACTTATTACATCAAGTCTGATAGTTTGCACAGTAACTGATGAAATAAGGGACCTGGTGACTATACGGTCATGGACGGTAGGCCCAATACAAAGTTGAATTTCAGACTCTGTTCCCTGAGAGACTGCTCCATAGCCACACATCACAAAAAGATGATACATGTTTATCTTGAAATTTTGTAGGTAGGATCCAATTTTAAACAATAAAAGGATAATTCCACTTTTTTGAAATGATAATGGACTGTGTATTTGAAGCTGCACCCTTGGTGCTGGTAGCTACACGCCTACCCTTAGAACTGTTGGTTCCTTTGTTCACCTCTTCGACTGAGGAGCCCCATAGCCTGAGCAAGTTACAGTTTTACAATATTAAATTCTTCTTTTAAAAACATATGATTTGCAGTTTGTCAAGCATATCAGGGATTTGTGCCTTCACCATGTCTTTTTTGTTTCCTTAATTTTTTTTGCTGTTTGTTTGACAAGTTTTGTTTACATGTTTGTTAATTGTGACCTTCCAATATTTTGGTGATTTACAGTTGTACATCGGTTTGGAGATGGATGGGTAGTTGACCTGTTTTATTACTCATTAGCTTGTTACTTTCTTCAAATTTGTTCATAGGTTAATCAGTGCATTATTTGAAAACTGCTAGAAATCTAAATTTGCGTTCCTACGTGGTCAAGCTTTTTGGATGCGAGAGGCCCACGTGTATAAATTATTTTTGATGCCTTGGAATACTTTTTATGCATGTTTGGCTTGTTAGCTCATTCTTATAGCAGATGTGTATTGTTCTTTGTTGTTGGTGTTTGCTTGGGCATATTGTTCACCCTTTCTCCCCAAAATGAAAAATTGGAACTTACTGGTAGTGACCACTTCGAAAGTGGAGCGGAAAACACCTTTCCAATTAAAATTATTTTCCAAGTGATTGGATGCCAACAAGTGCCCTAGGTAAGAATTCCACATTGGACCATCATAATTTTTGAGAGTCACAAACCCCAAGTTTTTGAGTAGGTGCATGTTAATTTAGGGGTCCAGTACCTGCATGAAGGGTACAAGTTTGATAAGTGTGTAGTTTGTTCTTATTTATGGCCCCAGAAAATTGTGATAGTCCGTCACAAGCTTATTTCTGTACCCTTTTTTCAAAACTTTTGACATTCAACAGTAGAAACTCAACTGTCAGTGCAAGCTTGAATTTCTACTTTGTTGCAGGAAAAAACTTCTAAGAGTAAGAAGGGACCAACATTTCAGCTACATATTCCACCAGTCGACGACAGTCACGACGAAATCCCAGAACCAGAGGCATTTGTACACGGAGGTAAGGTTTCAGTCAGTTGCCATTTCATCTCTGAGCCAGACAAATAAAAACTAGATTCATTTACTATTTAATTGTGTTGCACTGTGGGATCAAAGGATTTGATAAAGTCAGTGTTAAAATACATGTAGAATAAAACACCAAATTATACAGTTACTCATGAATAATTCATATGATTGCACATCATGTATTATATTGTGCTGTCATTGTCATGCGGTCAGTGTTGCCATTGCCATTGTCATTGTCATATTGCATACAATTTACATGTACATGTACAGGTAGGTCATGAGTTAAAACCAATGTAATTAGTTTCTTCCTCTGTATAGTACATACTTGTACATGTACTGGGTTGTCATTGCTTGTTCTGAAGTTATGATATCACTTGGGATCTCCATTTGTTTTACTTGGTAGCCCTTTTAAGTCTTTTCAGTTTTGTTCCTCGTTGTGGGAAATATGTATTTATATTACAGCCAATTTAAATTTACATTGACAGTCATGACGCACTTAGGAAATAAAAATGTACTTATTACATGTACTTGAATCTTGCTTTGCTGTTGTGCACTTTAATTTCCGGAAAACTGTACCCTTTTCTTCAAGCAGCTTAAACCTTGATAAACTCCATACATGATGTACCCTTTCTAATAATAACTACCACAGAAGGACCATATGTACATAACGTTCATCTGTTCCGGAAATGTGCACAGGAAGTAATATGGAGCTGTCGGTGGGTGTCTGATGCTGGCCTCAACTCGACCAAAAGGAAGTCCCACTTATGAGGGTAAATGCCAGACTGACCGAGTCTATTACCGAGTTTAGGCATAGGTTCTTGTCCCATGAGAACTTTCACATTGGCTGACTGTATCTTATCCCAGGACGTTCCTAATATGGTTTTCCCCACTCTAGGCCAGGCAGACGGTTTGGGATCTGCCCTCTGTGAGCAGCATGTACAGTATATGAGTGAATGGTTTGTGTGGTGTAGTGCCACTCAGATTTGGACTGTTGGTGAAGGCTGGTGTAGACGTGGGAGTTGTCAGGAGTCTTATTCTTGGAATTTTTGGATTTGATGCCTGTGGAGGTTTTCAGTTTATCAACCCAACTTTATACATGCAACACCTATGCTACTCTTCAAGTCGAAATAGTTAATTCTTCAATTTGGAGTTATCATTTGTCTTGTTCGAAAGCCTCTACTCAGTGAGGAAGTCTGTTTCAAAAGCCAAAATCCTCCTTACTTTTCAACTCTGTAGAGAGATGTAACCGCGTCATCATAGTCATACAACAACTATTTCTGTCACATGAGAGACGGGAACTCAAGACTCTTATTGAGCCTGTATTGTCCACACCCATGAAGCGTCATAGCTGCAATGATGTCATCATAGTCAAGAATCTAAACCAGGAAGAGAAATAGTCCATCTAGTGTCTCATCATGTGGTTACCAAAGGTCACTACTTCTTTTGTGCTAGGCTTGGAAATGGATTGATTACGTCTTTCTTTCCCAGAAGGCCATGTCATCTTAGTTGATCGTGAATTGTGTGGAAATCTAACTCACTGGAGCAAATCCAACATTTTTGAGTGGACACATTACTACATACTGACATCATCATGTGGTCACTTATCAGAGATCCTGTTTTTCGAAATAAATCAGACATCAATTTACTTGGCTTACCAGGCCTGGATAAATTGAATAACAATGAATATAATAAGACGAATATATCCCTGAATGAACTCACCACATACCCAGGTAAGTTACCTGAATTAATGTTAAAAAGCACAGTATCTACTGCTCTGATTATGTAGTTGTACCAAAATTCAAGCCGTAAATTTGATTGTAGGTCAACTCGCCCCCTGGCCGACTCGCCCCCTAGCCGACTCGCCCCTTACCAACTTGCCCCCTAGCCAACTCGCCCCCTTACCGACTCGCCCCCTGACTGACTTGCCTCCTGACCGAGTCGCCCCCTAAGTTTGCCAAGCACGTATGGCCGGCCCATTCACCATTTAATAAAAAATACAATCAGTCAGAGATGGAATCGGCGATTGCTGCCCTTGAAAATAGGTTCTGGGGTTTGCAGCAGGCACTCAAAGTTGAGTTTGTTTAAAGCTTGGTGGATATTCCCTTTGTGTGGAATTTTGGGTAACAATACTTTTCTTTATATTGGTAAAACTAATTCAGTATTATCATGTGTATGGGCCATGGCGAAGCGTTTCCTGTGTATTGTCTATGGGATTTTGTGCACCACAACACCTACACTCTACCAAGTAATTAACTTTGCAGACTATTTCGGATTTAAAAAATGGTACATATTAGGCATAATGCCCGGCGACGCAAACCTACGGAAGTGTAAAGGAGACATGATTTATGACAAAGGGTGTAACGGTCGCTACACACTTTCAGGTTCCGATAACTTCACAGGATGCATTTATTAGTTCACAATTAACACTAAATACTGATTTATTCGGCGAGTACAGTCATCAAGGATCACATTGTTGATCGGCAATATTGAATTATATCCCAGCATGCACTGTCGGTGTCATGGCGTCATGGAAAAACAGTCATGTCATCTGGTGTCCAGTACTTGTAAACAAATTAAGAGCACTCTCAAAGATATTCAATTCCAAAAAAGGAATAAAAATTATGCGAATAAAATCACTCAAAAAGCGTATATCCAAGAACCTAAATCAATTTTTGCAGTATACATGTATGTGAGGTCCCAGTCGAGTGAATGAGCAACAGAACACTATAACTAACTGGATATCGGGTCACTTCAAGAAGGTACAGTCACATACCCAAATATTAATGGGATGGAGGGTTCGAAGTTGTTGATCCTGAGGGTATGTTGGATGTACAAATAACCTAATCAGACAGTGGACGTAGGAAGCATTGGAATAAATAAGTGATTAGTGGTGATGTCCAAATATCCGTCCGTGAGTCGTTCGTGTCGTATCGTTGGTTAGAACCATTGTTTGTTTTTTTTAATGCATCGGGCCGGCCATATTTGCTTGATGTTCCGGGGGGGCGAGTCAGCCAGGGGGCGAGTTGGTCAGGGGCGAGTTGACCTGACATCGTAAATTTATAGGTGATAATTGGTAGATTCATACATGTACATGTATGTACATGTGTATACAACTTACTGAAAACAAAGACCACTAAAATACATGTTCATGCTGGGAAAATTTCTTGCTGATAGTTACTGGTACATGTACATGTTTAACAAGCTAGAATTTAGGCAACTGATCACCACCCAACATAAACATACCCATAGTAATTTCTAGAGATTGGGTTTAAAGCCATGACAACTTATCACTCAAATGGTAATTGAATTTGGGGGGGAAGGGGTCTTATACTTTTGCCAGATTTCTTAGCCAGGTGATTTCTGAGCGAGAGTAACGTGATTTTTTGTACTTGTGCTTGAAGTGTTATTCACGGTAGTTTACAGTTTTGAAAGCCAAGTTTCAGTTTTTGTTGAGTGGGAACTTGGAGATGTGGTAGGGCCATCATGTACATGTACATTTAGGATGGGGTAAGGGGATTAGTTAAATTTACTTTATTCTACTTCACTTTTATTCATTTCTGGTCATCCACCAGCACCAGGGAAACTCAGGGAATTAGGTAGGATTGAAAACTCAATCCACATACGGATAGTTACATGAAAACCTTGTTTGAAGCTTGGATTGTAGTACACCAACTTGACTCCTGTCATTTGAGCAGGGAAACCATGCAGTTTATGCATGGTTTGTGCATGTCACATGCCATTGTTAATTTCAGTTAACTAAGGGTGGGGCAGCAATATACGAATGTCACATCCTGCAATCCCAGAAAATTGAAATGTAGCCAAGGAAGAAAAGAGACAAACAAAGTAAAGTGACCAAGTTAAAGTATTCTGTTGTCAAGGAGATATTAAGTTGACTGGAAGTGAATAATGAAAACAAACTTATGTCTGGCTGTGTAGACTGTTTGGAATGTGATAAGTTATGAATTACACACAGTGCAAAGAACAATGCTGGCTTGTTTGGATTGAAAATAACTCTGATACATACATGTACTGTACATGTACATATTGTTATACATGTACATACATGTACATGTAACTTGTACCGTACATACACGTATAGTAGATGCCTTTTTGGCACTCAAACTCATTGTAAAGATGTATACGTGTGGCAAGTACATGTACATGTATTTGCCTTGTTATAAAAGTTCCCGTGATACTCAGCTTAGCAGACCTTTTGACCACAGTAATGATTAATACAGCATGGGGTGATCTCAGATCTGAGCCATCTGTTAACGGAATTCCGTTGGATTAATCAGCCCACAGTGACCATATTGTAGACCAGCACAGATGGGTTTATACTTGATACTGTGGCAGGTTAAACTTCATGTCAAAGGTCAATTTCAAGAGGGTGTGTTTGTGCACAGGATGGGAGAGCAAACATGCACTACATGTACCATGTACATTTGTACCGGGCTGTATTTGCTATCAAAGACTTGTACATGTAACACTAAACACTGTAAAATGATAAAAATACATGTACATGTACTATACATGAACACTGTATGTACATGCACAGTAAGTACATGTGTATGTACATGTACAGTTAGTACATGTGTATGTACATGCACAGTAAGTACATGTGTATGTACATGTACAGTAAGTACATGTGTATGTACATGCACAGTAAGTACATGTGTATGTACATGTACAAATGTACACTATGGTTTCATTCAAGGATGGATGGGGTAGTGGGAGCCATGCTCCCCCCAAAAATGAGCCTCTCAAAAATTCAGGGGGGAATGATGAGAAAAGGGTGAACTTTTTGGGTCTGTTTCTTTTCCCTTCCTTCCAAAGTGTGTGCAAAGCCCCAAAATGTTGCCTTACTCTCAGAAACAAGGTCCCCTTCCCACCCAGAAAAATGGAGTTCTTTATCTGTCCTCCTTTTCATCCTCCTCAATCACAAAACATGGCTTACATGTACTTTTGTTAAATGTGGTTTTCTTTAGTGAAATTGAAAATAACACAGTATTACTCCATACATGTGTGCTTATGATGTCAAATCACTACAATACATGTAAGAGTGTACATGTATGTGTCCATACCGGTACGTCCAAATGGTCAAGCCATCGACAGTTCATCGGTTCAACTATTTTACCGGTAATGACTGTTTGTAGATTCTCATATTTTGTGTGATTTTTGGCTTTTGTTGTTCCATCAGGCGAGCTGATCATTGGCCAAGCTCATAATGTTCTCAAGTTTGATGCCTTCAGCGGTCTCAACAGGGGTATATCAGGATCCTTGTATTGCACCAACTTCAAGATCAGCTTTGTTAGTGCCAATAGACCCACCCATCACCTGGTGAGTAGCAAGGGGGGCAGAGTGGGGTTGAGTCAGGGTGGGGTTGAAGTGGTGAGGAGATATGGTTGGGTTGGGGTCAAGATAGGGTTGGAGGAGAGATGGGGTGTGGTTGGGGTCAGGGTGGGGTCGGAGAAGTTATTGGCATGGCTAAGTTGGGAGATCGTGAGGGGGATTTGCGTCCATGGAGCTGGGTTGGAGTTGTAGTTGGTTGGGAATAATGAAGATGGTTTGGGGTTTAGATGTGTTTAGATGGGGTTAGACCTGCAGTTCAAGTGTGAATCCATTTGAATGATCTGAGATGATTGGCAAATGTGGGCTTTTCCATGTACAGGAAATGACATACTCTGTGCATCGGGCTTGTACATGTACATACCAGGGGTACATTACTCATCAATTTAGACATTGAATTAATAAGCAATTTCTGAACAATTTGGATACATGTACATGTACCGAGTTCTGCAGAAGTTGCTCATGAATGACCTTTTGTTGGATTCTGTAGATTTGACACTTCGTGGGTAATGCTGGATAGATTTGTGTTATTGGTGATGTACGTGTAAGATTTTGTTTGGTTCAGCTGCCTGGCATAGTGCATCATTTCTATGTGTACATTGGATTTTTTGGGATTCAGTGCATGCTTTATAAATGCCGGAATCACTTGAAGATTTCACTTGCTTTCTAACCTACTAGTACCAGGTATGAGCTTGATGGGTTTGCCAAGGTGCGCAGTGAAAATTAAGACGGTGTTTTCAGGTTTTACTCTTGTGCTTTAATAGACTTCTAAACTTACATGTACATGTACACAGGTATCAGGGTGAATCTTTAATGTGGGGCTAGATTTTTTGTCTCAGAAAACTTGTTTTCTATTAAAAATTAATTGATGAAATTAGTGCAAACTTTTGCAATGTGGATTTTTGTTCATATCTGAAGATCAAAATGATTGGAAAGTAAAGGAATACAAGTGTTGTATAGTTGTGTTTTAATGTCATGGTTACAGTTATTATTTCCATCAAACATTTGAGTATGCGTTGATTCATCAGTATACTGTACATGCACAGTTGGGACAATTGATCTTGCTGACTGTCAAACATTAACAAACAATTGATTTTTCAAGTCTGTCAAAACTGAAACTGGGTTTAGTTTTCAATATGGTTTCAATATTGAGCAAGTTGAGTATTCAGATGGTCATGATGGTGTAAACAAAACTCTTGTTTAGAATGTCAAACAATGGAATGAAGTTTAGATTGGATGGATATTAGATTGATAGTCTTCATGACACCATCAGTTTCTAGAACCGTCAGCTAAGATGATCTGTTGTGTGTGTACAGGAAATACTGGGGTATTATGGTCAATAAGTGGAAGCTAAAGATTGGCAAGAGTGAAAGATTGATACATGTTCAGGAACCATACAGGTTTTTGTACCAAGTTTGAAAACCTGCCGACTTTAACACTTTTAAAATCTTCCAAATTTTCCTGAACACTTTTGCCCACAGACCTACTGTACATGTAGCTTACATACTTCTGAATCCTGTGAAGAAATCCCGCGTGGAGAATGCTTTGCCTTTCAAAAGCCTTCATGGTCTGTTTGGAAATGCAGACCTGTCAAGTAACCAGACTACTTGTATGCTACCCACAATGCACTGCAGTCAAGATACATGTATTCTCTCTGTTTGATGCTTCACAAGAAAATCATGAGGAAACCTTTTTTTCATTTCTCTATTAAAACTACAAACTTTGATTTCAAATTTTGAGGGGCGAATGTTGAAAGTTGATCATGGAATGCTATAAAATGTTGGAATGAAGAATGTTGAATACCGGCACATTTGGCTGTGGTGAAATCTTCATCAACTTGCATTTGCCATCTTATAAGAAAAATACTCCAAACTTTGTGGATCTCAAAATGTTTGCTTGCTTTACTGTACATGTACATGTACGTAATTTACATTTGCTGATGACAAGGTTTTAAAACCAGTGTCGAACTGAGCAATTCCCTTTCATAAAAACCTCACACGTTCAGATGTGGAACCAAATCAGACATCATAAAACTTGATAGGAACCACCTTCTTAGTTCAGCCACTAGACCGAAGGAAAAGTAAAACAAGCTCCATGGACACCGACTGGCAACAGGAAACATCTGATTGGACGCTGATTGCTGCTTGATTATTGCCATCCCTACCCAAACTTCCTGCGGGTTATGGGGGATGCATCATGACTAGGAGAGCTAGATAGATTGCATTTACTGTACCCGCTTACCGTTAATCATTAAAGATAAATCCCCCCCACTCCCCACCCCCTCCCCGGAACTGCCAAATTTAATTATATTAGGTATCCATTGATTTGGCACCCTCAGAAGTCTACAGACAGTGTACCGATACAGTACCTATTCATGTCTGTGCTCATATGATTCCAGCATGGTGGTTTAACCCTAGCCCTCTCATCCTTCAAAATCCATTATGGCTTTTTGAGGATTTTTTGTGAGGAACTTGGAAAGATAGAACTCGGCAAACCATTGGGAACTACATTTATACCTTCTGATCAATGTGCCTTAGAAGAAGGAACAAAGAACATGTCACTAGTCTAGGTTTTGCACTTACTCCAATGTTTAGATTCATAAACACTGAACACTCAGTGCTTGTCCAAGAACTTATGAGAAATAAGTCACAAGCTTACTCGGGTGGGACTCAAACCCACAACTTCCTATGACTAGTGCAGACATCTTAACCACTTGACCATTGCGTTTGGCTTGCCCTTCCGAGTTAGATATAGCAGTGGGTATCTCAAGATGTACTTTATGTATCTCAAGATGTACATGTACATGTACGTTTCTTATTCAGTCCTGCCGCACACTTTGGAGGCTTGCTCTCTCTTACATACATGGTATACATGTAATGCACTGTTACTCGTGGACTGTATGCAGTGTACAGCAGGATTGGGGAATGAGTCTGATGTAACATACGTGTACATACTTCTTGAAGTAACACATGTGTACATGTACAGTAGCTGTTGGAATGGGAGTATGTACATGTACACTGGCAGTGTTGTGCAGGACATGGACATGCACTGTTCAGGGTGTACTGTTCATGTGATTCCATTTCAGGCAGGCCTGTAGGCTCTGAGGGGGTTTGGAGGATTTGAATGAAACACCCCCTCTGCCCTCTTCACCTCCCTCCACTCCCTTTTGAGTTCTGCTCATTGTTTGGCTTTTAAAATAACTTTTTCATGATATTGTTCATACCATTTGTTCATCACTCAGTGCCCGATTCAGGAAGTTGGGTGATGAGCAAATTTATTCCAGGCCAATTTACGACATGCCGTTGACATTTACACAAATGTCCTAACCTCCAGGGCCACCATGCCGTTGATATTTACACAAATGTCCTAACCTCCAGGACCACCATGTGAGCTTCACTCTGCCACAAGTTTCACTTTTGGGTTTGACAAACCCTCCTCTCTCTGGTCAGGCAATGGCCTGGCATGTACATGTACATGTGTGCATGTACATGTGTGCATGTACATGTGTGCATGTACATACATGTTAGTCATAGATGTATCATGGAGATAGCTGATACATACACGTACATATACTGTACATTTATGCACATGTACATTTATGTACACATTTTTTTTGGTGTCCATGTCACATCTGACATATACTTTTGTAACTTCAGAATACGTTCTCTAACTTCCGAGAGTGATGAATTAATGCAGATTACCTTCCAAACAAATAGAAAAAGTTTGAAATTAATTTCCTTGATATTTCCATTGAAATTACACAAGTCAGGTGTTACAAGGACACAAAAATGTCATGCCTGTGGACCCTGAATTTATAGAATGACCCATTATGTATGTATAATGTATGTGTATACAGGTATGATGTGCATACATGTATGTATTAAGTTCCTTTGATAAAAACCAACATCAGGGGAAACCAGTGGCGTATTCTAACAATAACTGTACACAAGAATATTTATACATTCAGTGATGGAGCCTCCCACACAATTTATTTTATTTATCATCCAACAGGTGCATTTAGTGCTAATTACAGGATAACGAGTGAAGAAGAAATGAAGGGGCGGTCAGTTTTAGAGGTCATATGATGCAAGATATGGGATGGAGAGAACCCCCCCCCGCCTTTGTGTTGGTCATTGTTTGATCCGAGTCTCGGGAATTCTTTGTAGACTTCTAGGGGGATGTGTTAGGTAACAATAGTCTAGAGTGTGTATAGGGATTGGACATGTGTGGGGGGGTACCCATCAGCCCTATATCGTGCCCGGTATCTTAGTGGAGGTGGGAGGAAAAACCCAGATAAATATTGGGGGGAAACTCACAAACTCAGGACTGAAAACCCAATCCACATATTGATGGAGCCAGATTTGAACCCACGCCCCCAGAGGTGGAAGGCGAGGAAAGAAACACTGCACCAACCTGACTCCCCAATGTACAGCTGTATACACCCATGTGATTCTTGATGCGCTAAGAATAATGCCGTTGTGTACAGACAGACACCACAATAATGTATAGGCCTGCGTATACACGCACATGTACTTGTACATGTAGCTAAATGTATGAAGTAATCATTACCATTTATCATGTTACTAGTCCCAGTTCAATCCTGTTCAGCTTTGTTGGTGATAATTATTTGTGTCTTGTACAAGTTTTTCTAAGAGGACAGGTAATGTGTTTTCCTTTGTTCCTGTTTACTTACACCTGCCCGTATGACGGTGTTTGTTGACTGAACTCACACATGAACCTCAGAGATTCATGAACAAAGACAGACTGATGAGGATGGACGAAAGCCTTTGTTTTCTTTGTTTGTTTGTCGTTTGTGATCATACAGTGATGAGTGTGTACAATCCTTGCAATAACTAAACTAGGACTGAAATCAACTTTTCAAATGTTACTTTTTAACACCCCCCCAAATTTACATGTTTTCTGCAAAGCAATTGACATTTCTAAATGGTATCAAAATAAATGTATGTTCATTTGACCTTTCCATTCCAGCAACCTTTGACTGACATTCAAATCACGGTGAGAGTTTTCCGTTGTAGGAATTGATTCTGCCTTGAACCCAAAGATACTGGGAAGTTACTAATTTGTATCAGTGAGAGGATTACACATGTACATGTATGTGTGTACTTGAATGCATTGAAGACTGCAGAGGAGAGTGCTGTGCATTGAGATCAGTTGAGGACATCTGATATACATGTACATTGTACTGTATGCACACGAATAATCTGGAGGTCAATATTGCATTGTCAATATTGCATGGTCAACATCATGCATGGTCAATATTGCATGGTCAACATCATGCTTGGTCAATATTGCAGTATTAACCCACTCATGCTACACACAAAGAAAATCAGGTTCATGCATTTATTTCTTGTTTTATATACACCTGTGTACAGTATTTTTAGTTTGATCTTTCATAGGAAAGACTTGTTGTCTGATCATTTCCCTTGATATTTACATACCGGTATATCCTCAAACTCATGTTGTAATCTGATTCAAGAAG